GCTTGCTCAGTCCCGGCTCACACCAGGTCCAGCAGCCCCTGTCCATGGGGGGGCCTCGGCAGGCTGCTCTTGCTGGCTCCTCCCAGCACTGGTTCCTGCTCCCCCTCCCTTGCTGCCTCTGATACAGTAGTTGATGAACTACTTGACTACTTGCTTACATCCCTGAAAGACCCTCTAGTTTATCTTCAGACATTATGTCAGGGATGATTAAAGGTAAACTTCCCCTTAGTACCGGCAAGCATGGTGGATCTGGATAGGATAGTTAAGATACAGAACATTTCCAGCTCCCATTGGCTGGAAACAGTGAACTGGAGCCAATGGGAGCTATGAGGCTCCATGCCTATGGACACTTAGATAAACAGAACATGTCACATCTCATCAGCAGCTTACGCAGGAAGGCCCACGACCCAACTTTGAAAACTCCTGTTCTATACCACCAAGTAGTACATGCAGCTCAGTTGAATAATCACCTGGTGTTCCACTGTAACTTTTGTCTCTCCACTTATTCCTATTGTTTGTTACATTTAACCATGTGTAATGCCTGATTAGATCCTAAGCTCAAATGCAGGGATAATATCTTCCTATGTATCCAAAAAGAACCTGACACAAAGGTGTACTAACCCTATAATGATACCCATCGACCCAAGTGGGTATCACATAATCTAAATAAATAATTTACAGTGACTGCCTAATGAAGTTTAAGATTCACATCCATGCATTAAAACCCTGAAGTTAACCCACTTTGCTTGTACCACACACAGATCCAGAAGCATTTCAGACAAAGTCACCATAGTCACAGATTTTTATATGCCCTTATAGCTGACATGCAGGCAGCTTACAAATGCCCAGAACCCCTCTCACTGATTCTGGGAAATACATAATGGCAAGCACCAGTTAAAGCTAATTGAGAAATCTCTGTCCTTTCTTCACACAATAAAACAAAGTGTCAGGCCTCATCCTCAGTTGGCATTTGCCCCCTGATACAAAGAAAATGATTGGAATCAGACTGTAAAAGTTGTCACCCAATTTTCACTTCTTCACACAAAAACGTTGAGTGCTTCCTATCATGGGCAGGTGATAGCCTAGGCGTGGGAAGGTTTTGCCTTCCCAAACCGCCTACCTGGTCCCATCCACACTCCACCCCCAGAATGCCTACTGTAGGCATTCTAGGGGCAGAGTGTTGCTGCCTCCAGCCCTGCCCTTCCCATGCTCCAGGGCCTCCTCCCCGCATCCCCGGTGCTCCAGGACCGCAAGACTGGGCTGCACATCCTCCTCCCACTCTGGGCTGGCATGCGGCTCCTCCCTTCCCGGTGCTCCATGGCCAGGGAGGCTCACAGAAACCAAACTCACCATTACTCAGTACACTAGCAAGAGGGGGCAGTGGAAAGCTGAGCAGGGAGGAGGCAAGAAGAAGACTCAGAGGAGTGAGCAGCAGCTAGACTGGGGCAAAAGGTGGGGAGAGGTGGAAACTCCACACAGATCAAACAGCGGAGGCTGAGCAGAGGGCAAGGCAGGGAACTCTCTGTCTGGAGCTAGCTGAGCAAGGAGAGGGCAAAGGAGGAGAAGGGAGGCAGCGGTGAGAGTAACTTAAAATTTCTTACAGGTACTGTCCCATTGCAATCCAGGTCCCTGCCAGCACTTTAAATAGCTCTCTGCTGGCTTTTGTCAGAGCTCAGCCAGTTCTTGCCTGAGCTGCACACCAGGGCACACCCACTTACTTTCACCTCTCGGTAGGGGAAGCCAGGAGGAAGCCTACTTTGCCCACCGTTGGCCAAGGTGCAGGGAGGAGGTCTGGATGAGGTGAGGGGCCAAGTAGGGAGGGAACTGAGGAGGGGAAGAAACCAGAAAACAAGTAGCAGCAGCAACACAGTAAGCTGGGTGGGGTGGTCTCTTCAAAGCAGGACGGACACGCACTCCTCTTAGAGAATGTGTGCTGGAGAGTACTGCAGGCTGCAGCAGCAAGGAGAGCTTACAAGACTATAATTTGAGTCTTGTGTATGTTCCATGCAGGTTCAGGGGCGAGCTGCTGAGGACACTCTCTGCTACTCAGCTTTCCCAGCAACCCTAGAACCTGCCTGAACCATACTAAAAAACATTCCATAGCAATACCACATGGAAGTTGGAGGCAGAAAGAGGGGGGTTAGAGCCAGCACAGCCCTAGCATTGGGAAGGCACTGCCTTCCTTTGCCTTACAGATCTGCAGCGAACAGCATGGTTATTCCTCTTCTCCTCCCCTGTCCACAGGAATGCACATATCAGTAGCTGTGACAGCGGGCCATCCCCTTGCCCTGCATTTTAACTCGCTCGGGGTAGGCAAACGGGGTTTGGAGACACACGGAGCAGCATGTGGGGAATCAGGGAGGGCGCACAGGGAAGGGAGTATGTACGGGCAGCAGCACCATGAGACCCCTAGCCTTCTAGAGGGGTGTGCCCCAGGTAAGTACAGGCAGTCCCCGGGTTACGTACAAGATAGGGACTATAGGTTTGCTCTTAAGTTGAATTTGTATGTAAGTCGGAACTGGCTCCAGATTCAGCCGCTGATGAAACTGATCAGCGGCTGACTACAGGAAGCCCTAGGCAGAGTTGCTCTGCCCCCAGCTTCCTGGAATCAGCCGCTGATCAGTTTCAACAGCGGCTGGGGTTACTCTGTGCAGCAAGAGTTACACCCTCTCCAGGGAGGGCTGGAGCCGAAAGCATAGAATTGTAGGACTGGGAAGGACCTGGAGAGGTTATCAAAGCCAGTCCCTGTACCCACGGCAGGACAGAGCACCATGCCGACCGTCTGTGACAGGTGTCTGTCCAGCCTGCGCTTAAATCTCTCCAAGGATGGAGTTTCCACAGTGTCTTCAGGCAATTTATTTCAGTGTTTAACACCCCCCGAAAGGAAACTCTTCCTAATGTCCAACCTAAACCTCCCTGGCTGCAGTTTAATTCCATTGCTGCTTGTCCGGTCCTCAGAGGCCAAGGGGAACAATTTTTCTGCCTCCTCCCTGTGACTCCCTTTTAGATACTTGAAAGCTGCTCTCGTGTCCCCTCTCCGTCTGCTCCTTCCCAGACTAACCGAGCCCAGTTCGTTCAGTCGCCCTCCCAGGCCGGGTTTTCTCGCCCTTTCCTCGTTTGTGCTGCTCCTCTCTGAACTTTCTCCAATTTGATCCCGTCTGTTCTGAAATGAATCTCCCAGAGCTGTCATCCATTTCCAGACTAACACCATCCCTGCCCCCCAAGCTCCCTCCCCCCTCCAACTCCCAAACATCCTCCCAGAGCCTGCATCCAGACCTCCACCTGCACCCATATTCTCTCCCAGATGCTACACCCCAGATCCCCACCTTCACCCAAGACCTCCCAGAGCTCCACGCCTCACCCTTCTTGTACCCAAACTCTCTCCCAGAGCCTAACCTCCTCCCAAGACCCTCAATCCTTTGTTCCAGTCCAGAGCCTGCAACCAACACGCAACTCCTTCCCAGATCTTGCACTCTTCTCCCACCCAAACGCCTTCTCAGAGCCTTAGACAGGTGGGGGGAGAGAATTTGACTGGGGGATATATGGGCTCTGAGCATTCTGGGCATCACTGAAATTTTTGCAGACTTGCTGCGCCTGCAGGAACACTGGGTTCAGAAGAGCCTTCTCTGTAATGGCCACTAGAAGTAATACCAATAATCAGTTTATGCAAAATAAAAATACTTAGCACTGTATATCTTCAAAGTGAAATTCAGATTTTGACTTGATTCATGAAGGTGATGTCCACTGAAGCCAAGGAAAATCAAGGAAGATAAGAATCTTACTGGACAGAGCCCTAAACAGTTATAATAGTACCCCTGTGAGGACACAGTGAAAGTATTATCCCATTCTTACCAATGAAAAAAAATAGAACAATGCTAAGGGAAATGCCCAAAGCCACATAACAAATCAGTGGCAAAGTTGTGTTTAGAACTCCTAACTTCATAGCACTCTGTTCTGTTCAGTACACGAGAGCATATTGTATTATATGACTCCTCTGTAAACAAATGAACCATAAAAAATGCAGATTTTTGTTCTGTTCTCTTAAAACCAGATGAAATATTGTTTGCATTTAAGTTTCATCAGTTTTCCATGTTGTGATTCGGTTTAAAATAAATGTATGGTGGAAAGACAAGCTAAGGCTTAAAAAAAAAAAAAGCATAATTATACAGGTAAAACCAACAGTACTTCTTGTATGGCTACAAAGAAAAGGAAAAGTCACTCCTAATAAAGGGTAACAGCTTCAACTTTCTCCTAACAATCTCATGAATCAAATCAAACCAAAAAAAAAATCCTGTATTACTTTGCAAAAGCCTGATGTAGGGGGAAAGGACACCAAAGACCAAAACTGCTAAATTTATTTTCTTTTGGGTTTTTAATTGCAATGCAGGAAGACCTAATAAGTTTGAGAAACTACTGGAGTAGCTGAAGCATTTAACAGGGATAGAACCTCTGCTCCACTGCTATTGATAAAAACCTTTTGGGGGAAGCTGAAGAAAAACTGATATATTGTCTTCATTTTATTAAAAAATATCTCATCTAACTTTTGGTCATATTTTTCCCATACACACATCCTGAGTGTGCACTATATCTTCCCTGTTTCAATTCACAAACAAAATAGTAAATAGATACAAACACTGATGTTAAATTTGCAATCTTATTGACTGTTTAGGGTTATATTTTCAGAACTGTGCATTAAAATTGGAGATTGAATTTCCATTCACAATTCTGAGAAATGTGTGTCTAACTGTCCGGATTACTTTGTAGAAACTGTTATACGGTATGCTTATAATGGCATTTTAATTGCCAAAACAATTTGGATTTTACTAGATAGTCAGGACAGACATATAAATGGTCCCTCCACATTTTAAAAGAAACTGAATAATCATCTGGTTAGATAGCCCTCTAACATGATAGCAACACATGGAGACAAAGATGGGAAAATGGGAAACAGAGAAAAAAGTCATATCCCTAAAATGTCAGTTTGATATAACTTGTCTTACCAGACATGGTCAGCATTAACAGCGTCATCATATAATAAGATATAAACACAGAAAGCACCAACCACCAAGGCATGGAATGAGGATACTGTCCTGAAAAAAGAAATGCATATTTCATTTGTTATTGTCATTCTGAATACCACAATTTAAAATATACCATCTTGCACTGAAGATGGTATACTTCCAAGGAAATTTTGAATGACATACAGAAGTTCTTATATAAGGACATTTCAATTTTATATTTCATCTATCAGCACATAGAAGGACTTGCTTTTAATACAGACCGAAAAAATATACATAAGGAAGAAGGGGAAATATTTTTCTTACAATCAAGGCTTCATTTTTTAAAATAACAAAGTAGTTAGAACATAAAATTAACATACCTTGATAGATGTCTCATTTACGGACACTTATCTGAAAAAGTAAATTCTTTAAGCTCTGTAAGTTGATTCTTCCAGTAGTGTTCAATTTGTTAAATGAACCAAAAAGCGACTTGTACTTTATTCTGACTTCAAATTGGTCTTTATATGCTATATTACAGGAATTCTGTTTGTAAACATCGCATTTAACAGCTGAAATGCTTTTTTATTCTTATTTTTGTTTTTTTAGGTGGGACAGTTATTAAATAGAAACTCTAGTAGTGACAGCTTCACAGAGGAACTGTCTTGTGCATATAATCCAGAAGCTTCTGGCTCTCAAAGAACAAAACTGATGAATATCACAGGTGAGAATGTAACTGGTACAGAGTATTAATTATAATGCTTATTTTGACACATAGTTTCATCTTCAATCCAATTACTTAACTCACATATTTCCTCCTTTTCATAATGACTTTAAAGATGGCTTTGGAAGGGGGAACAGCAGCAGCTAAGCTAGGACAAGTGCCTCTAAATTTCAAGTTGGATATATTACACAGAAGACAGCATAATAAGGAGTGTATAGCTCAAAATGTACAAATTTTGAAACTACTCATTGTTCATCTAAAGGCAGATTTAAAACAGCGCACAATAAAGGTTCAAATTAGCGGTTTAGTTAAGACAGCTAACTCAAAGTGAAAGGGGCACTCTGATCGATGCCCGTAACTCTATTTTCATGAGGAGTAAAGGAAGTCGAAGGGAACCAACAAAAAACACAAAATCTTCATTTTTGTAAGACCCGCAAGAAAAACTAGAGATTAGTACTTCCTTTTCTATATCAGTTTCTAACATTAACAAAGACATTACCACAGCTGTGCAAAGACTGTAAAACAGCACCCTAAAACATATTTTGGCATGATGGAACTATGCAAGATGACATCATTATTTAAATAAAGCCATCTTAATTCCAACTGTATAACGTCTCCAATGGTGAAGTTATTAAAACAACTTTCAAAAAGTAGCATTCATTAATACTAACAGTACTAACAGTGTTAACGGTGTTAACGGTGTTGGAGGATAGTCAATGGGGGTATGTCTACACTACCCTGCGAGTTCGAACTAGCGGGGTAATGTATGCATACCGAACGTGCAAATGAAGCCCGGGATTTGAATTTCCCGGGCTTCATTTGCATAAGCCGGCCGGCACCATTTTTAGATGCCGGCTTGTTCGAACTCCGTGCCGCGCGACTACACGCGGCACGGGCTAGATAGTTCAAACTAGCAAGCCATTCCGAACTATCTGTACGCCTCGTGGAACGAGGTATACAGATAGTTCGGAATGACTTGCTAGTTCGAACTATCTAGCCCGTGCCGCGTGTAGCCGCGCGGCACAGGGGT